AGTCAGTTTAGCTGGGGCGGCGCATCAGGTAAGAAGAAGTCCACACGACCGGCTTGTATTTTCTGAGACACCTTGTCTTACTTAACTACCTTTGCAACCTTCTTGTTTTCTGAGCAAGGTTTTCTGAGTTTGTAAGCTACTTTTTATGATTTTCCAAGTTTTATGTCATGAACTTTTGCGTTTGAGCCACAATCCTAAACCGAATCTGCAGATTCAGCGTACAGCGCAAAGGTGATAATTCTCCGTTTTTCGCCACTGGTGAGGGGTGTTTGAGACACTTTCGTCACGTTTTGAGCTTTGAGCCGCAATCCTAAACCCAATTTGCAGGTTTCCAAAACCTCATAAAAATCGAGCGCGCCGCATAAAAACGGACACACGAGCAAGCATATGGAAAACATGGGCAAAATAATCGCCATTTCACTTCTTGGAGCCAAGGCTTCTGACACGGAGTTTAGGCCTTTCAGAGACGGCGTCTCACCTTTTGGGGTTTAGGATGCAGCGCGCAGCGCAAACGTGATAATTCTCCGTTTTTCGCAACCAGTGAGGGGCGTTTGAGACAATTTCGTCACGTTTTGAGCTTTGAGCCGCGATCCTAAACCCAATTGGCAGGTTTCCAAAACCTCATAAAAATCGAGCGCGCCGCATAAATACGGACACACGAGCAAGCATATGGAAAACATGGGCAAAATCGCCATTTCACTTCTTGGAGCCAAGGCTTCTTACATGGAGTTTAAGGCCTTTCAGAGACGGCGTCTCACCTTTTGGGGTTTAGGATGCAGCGCGCAGCGCAAACGTGATAATTCTCCGTTTTTCGCAACCAGTGAGGGGCGTTTGAGACAATTTCGTCACGTTTTGAGCTTGAGCCGCAATCCTAAACCCAATTTGCAGGTTTCCAAAACCTCATAAAAATCGAGCGCCCCGCATAAATACGGACACACGAGCAAGCATATGGAAAACATGGGCAAAATCGCCATTTCACTTCTTGGAGCCAAGGCTTCTTACATGGAGTTTAGGCCTTTCAGAGACGGCGTCTCACCTTTTGGGGTTTAGGATGCAGCGCGCAGCGCAAACGTGATAATTCTCCGTTTTTCGCAACCAGTGAGGGGCGTTTGAGACCATTTCGTCACTTTTTGAGCTTTCTAAACCCAGTTTCCAAAACCTCATGGAAATCGAGCGTGCCGCACAAATACGGACAAGGTAGCGCAGAAAATCAAGAAATACAGCTCATAAAAAAAGGAAAACGGTAGCTCAGATTAAGGTGTCTCAGAAAAACCGCTCCAAAACACAATCGATGAGCAGTTCCATTCTGAGGTTTGCAACACCTTAAGTGTCGCTTCTCATATGTTCTCAGAGAATCAAGCAGTTTACGGTTTCACTGCACACGGAAGCCTGTCATGCCATGAGATTTCCCTCGTGCCCGTCCTTGTTCTTTTTCTCCATTCATGCCCAAGCAGTGGTCTCGTCCATGTTTGGCGCATTCTTGCCCAAACTGTGGTATCGTCCATGTTTCCATTGCAGCACCCGCGTTTTCGGGGCCCTTTGTGAGTGGGCGGCAAGCCGCTGGTACAGGTAGTTTTTAGATTCTTCAAATCCTTTCACTGGGGCGTTGAAGAGAAGGCCTATTGGGTCAAGCTTGAAGCTCTGACATGACTAGAGAGGCCTTGTCGACCACGTGTGAAGCCTTCACATGAGTGGAGTCACCTTCGTAGGCCAAACAGCCACGCGGCCGGACCGGAGACCACTAGAATCTTCAATTTGGCAGTGTGTTTGCCAGGAAACAGATGGTCCTGCAAATGCGCTTTTTGGAATAATAATTCTATCCTCCCACCACGGTTTTGCAGGACCGCCCTCCCCACATTGCAGTCTGGCGTTCAGCTCGGTCCTGCGTGGTCCTTTGAGCCCCTTTTGCCCCTGGCAAGGTGCTCAGAGAAGGGTCCTGCTGCGTTCCTGGTGGGTTCTGTGGTACGATCAGTACTGCGTGTCACGGGAAGTGTCAGCGTGTTGCTTTGGCTTACTTGTTTATTCAGCCGATAGTTTATCAAAGTCCCGCCCGCTCCGGGTGAACTGATGGTGCAGCGGAGCTGCTGCGGAGGAGGAGCTGTTGCACCCATGTGTGCTTTTCTCCAATTGGAGTCCTTGAAGCAGCGGCCTGGGGTCGAGTGACGATAGGCAGGCTGGGCCCTGCCCACAATGGTGCTACTTGCTGCCAAAAGTGTGTCCGCGTGTGATGGCTGAAGTAGAGCTTATTCAGCGCAGCCCACATGAGCAGCCCCGCCCTCACTGCTCAGAGCCCCCGCTGCCCCAAGAGGCCGCAGCGCAGTCCTAAACCTCACCGCTCTCACCGCCGAACGTTACAAGCAACAATTCCTTTGCACTGTCAACGTGCAACCAGCAAAATTAGTAATTCAGGCTTTGCATTTTGCAAGCCTTGAGCCATGGAGCCCAACAAGAGGCGACGGCTGTGTGGCAAGCAAGCTCCGATTGAAGGCCTCAACACAAGGGACACCCGAAACGCATTACAGACTTTCATCCGGGACAGGTGGGTAGCGCAACAAATGACAGCTCGGAATCTGCGTGGACATGAGCAACGGCAGCGGCTGAGGGTGGAATTCAGCAGCAAACCGGACAAAAGCGCCGTTTTGGAAGGTATGCGAGACCAGGTCCCGCAGAACTTGCGGCGAGCAGCGGCCCGCTCCCTCCTGGCAAGCTGGACGATAGAAACACCCATCGTCCAGGAACCCGTGTTGTTGTCATATCGTGGATGCGGCACCATGTTTCGCTACAGTGGGTCTTGGTCGAAGATTGAGGATGCTTCTATCACCTTGCTTTTGACGGACCAGAAGCCATCAATTGATGAGGTCTGCCATTTGCTACGTGCAAATGCAGAGGTCCTGCGTTTGTGGTCTGACTTTCAGGACTTTGTGAAGGACTTGCAGCGTCGCTTTCACTTGGATCGTGCCACAGCTGCCTTGGAGCTCCACAGCCAGGTGAGTCTTGAGCGGAAGCAGGCGGCTGTGCACTTGCATCTGATGCGGGACAGCAGAAAAAGTGTGTCCATGGGCAAAGGTGATGTCGTCTTTCGTGGGGCGCCGCCCCACATGTCTGTGGACTGTGCGCAGGCTCGCGGGAGATCCTGTCGCAAGGCCTGGGATCAGGGACACTACGATCTGCAATGCCCCAAGATCGGTGCAATTTACATGACAACCACGGCCGCGTGCTACACATGCTTTGGGGTGTCGCCCGAATGGGTGACTTCTCTGTGGCAAAGCTGCAAGATCACCAAAGAGACGGCCGAGAAAGAATATGTGAAGTGCAAAAAACACGTCCGGGCGTACCTGGAGAATGTGAAATTTCACACCCAGTGTGTTCGTGCCGATGCTGTGGCTGAACGACAGGCAGCTGCCTTACGTGACTTGCAGCCCTTCATGAGAGACCCCATTCGAATACAGCAGGTGGAGTCCGATTTTCTGCCACAATTCAGACGGCCAATGTTTCGGCGCAAGTTTCTTGTCTTGACAGGCCCTACAAGATTGGGAAAGACTATTTATGGCCGTGGCTTGTTTGGGCATGATGCCACTATGGAGCTCAACTGCTCCGGCGTCCTTCATCCGGACTTGCGTGAGTACGACCCACTTCGCCACAAAGCAATCCTTTTCGACGAGGCCTGCTGCCAGATGGTTTTGGCCCACAGAAAGCTTTTCCAGGGCCCTGTCGAGGAAGTCAGTTTGGCCCATAGCTCCACGAACATGTACAGCTACTCGGTCTTCGTGTATGGTGTGGCCATGCTGATTACCTCTAACTCCTGGCGCACAGAGCTGCAAGATTGCAGTCCGGAAGACCAGGAATGGCTTCGTGGAAATTCGATATGCATCGATTGCGATGTGCCTCTGTACAAGCCGTGAGCGTGCAAAAAGTCGCTTTTGCCCGACCGCAGGGCGGGACCCCTGCCCTGAAAGCCTCAAGATCATGTCTTCTGTTTTCAGTTTGGGTGGCACCGTTCTGCGACCAAGCGTGTTTCGGGTCAGGCTGCCCTCAGAAGCTGCAACTCACACCTTCTGCTTACCTGCAGAAGACTTCCTGAAAGTGTCTGGTCTGTATCGGCGCAGAAGGAACACCAAAGTGGCCAGTCTGTGTCAGCACTGGAGGAAAGCCCCTCAGATTTTTCGTGGGAAGCAAAGACCGCGGGGAGGCCACGCTGCAACCAAGATTTTTTGGGGGAGGCTGAGAAGCTGCCCCTAAGGCTTCTGCCTATGTGCAGAAGCCTTGCTGAAAGTATCCGGTCTGTGTCGGCACGGAATGAACACCAAAGTAGCCGGTCGGTGCAAATGAACCTGGCAGGCGTAGTCGGTCTATATCGACCCCTGGATTTTGCCTGAAAGCCGCGAAAGTACGCGGTTGTGTTTGGTGAGCAAGGAAAAACTCCGAGGAGGGGGCTGGACGCGTGCCCGCGCGTGGGGGACCGCGCTGCCGTTATTCTTTTGGGTGAGGCTGCAGCCTCAGAATTGTGGGTCTGGTGGGAAGCAGAGATTTCGGCTGCTGTGTTGTTCCATGAAGAGTGTTTCACCCGTCACTACGAGCGAATCGGCTTGGAGACAGACTCACTGTGCTGCTGATGCGGTAAACGAGCTAGCTTCAAAAAAAAAGGGAAGCAAAGATTCCGGGGAGGCTGTGCTGCAGCCTCAGAATTGTCGGTCAGGTGGGAAGCAAAGATGCCGAAGAGGGCGTGCTGCAGCCAAGGATTTGTTGTTCTCTGTTTCTGCCTATCCGCAGAAGCTTGACTGAAGGAAACCTGTCTGTGTCGGCGCAGAAGGAGTCGTGGGAACTGCCAGCTGGAGGCTCAAAATGTGTACATGTCGGTCTACATTCGGACTTGGGCAATCTTGCCAATGCAATCTTGCTCGACTCGAAGGTCCTGAAAGTAGATGCCCGAAACTGGCAGAAAACCCGAGGCCGTATGTGGTGACCTCCACAGTTAGTTTTGAAGTGGCCATCGTTCACACATGGACCCCTGCGCAGCTCTCGAAGAGACCAAAGCGCAGGCCTGTCTGGGCGCATCGTCTTGCTACTTCTGCGCTTGAGTTGAGTCATGTTGTCCTGGTGTTTAGGTTCGCAGCTTGACTAAGCAGATCAACGTGCTGGCCCGTTCAAGTCGCAAAGCGAAACGACGGGAACTTGACGGGGGCTTGTCTCCTGCGCAGTGCGTGAGTTTGCTGGCTGTCTACATCTTGTCCGGCTTCAACGTTGCATTGGCAATTGAATTTTGCAGGCAGAAGAGGCATGCCTGTACATGGACTGATGAGGACACTCAAGCGTTCGTGGAGAACCTGTACTTACAGCAGAGTGTCGAGGATCTGGTTCGCATCGAGACGGAGCAAAGCAAGCGCCGCCTGATGGCAGTGCGGTTCATAGCAAGTTGGGAGTGCCACAACTTTGCAATCCACCCCAACAAGCAAGGGGCTGCGCCGTCAACGGCTCTTGTTGCCAGGAACTATGTCTTGCGTGCTGCCCAGCTGGCTGCGGAGGCAGTGCCCCTCTGCCTGCAGCGTTGTGTTGAGCAGGGACCTGCTGCGCTTCCTGCAGCAAGGCGGGGCCTGCGCAAATGGTCCCGGCGTTTTCGACGTCGCTGGGGCTTTCGCTGGGGGGCGTTGGAGGCTACAGATTGCTCGTCGGTGCAAGAAACGGTGGACAAGGTCCTGGCCTGGTGGTAGGACTGGTAGGACGTAAGTTACCCACACTCACGGAAGATCCTTCTGTCCTGCTACAGTCCAAGTAGCTCAAGGCAAGATGATGTGAAACTTCGGGTCCAGGATTTGCCGTCAAGAGAGAGCATGTACATACTTGGAGAGCCAGGAGTCCTCCGAAACCCTTCAGGTTGCACCCGGGAGGGTTTTTTTGCTGTTCTTTTGGTCATTCTTTTGGGGCCTGTTTGTGGGTGCCTCTTTCGGGCCCCTTTTCGGGCCACTTTTTGGGTACCCTTTTGGTTCCTTGTACTCACAGTGACTGACCCCGCACCCCGGACTGCTTTTGGAGCCCCTGAAACAGGGCCCGCTTTTCCTTGCGTTTTTTGGGTACCGAGAGGCGTGTTGTGGTAGAAGCTCCTGCTGCTTGTTGTCCTCTGTGAAGTACTCAGGTGAGCCTTTTTTGGCGCCACGCCGACTGGCTGACGTCACGCGTAGCGACGGACCGTGTCCCAGTCTACCTCAACCTGGATGAGACCAGCGTCGCCTACTCTTTCTATGCAGCGCGTGGCTGGATCTCGAAGAAGGTGCGGCGGCCGAGAGCCAGGGTTCCAGCCGCGCGTCGTCGAGGGTCCATCACGCACGTGGCGCTCATTAGCAGCGTCATTGCTCTGCAGCCACACCTCCCCCAGATCTTGATCTGTGGTCGCAGGTCTGTGAGCAAGTCCGTGCTTGCCCGTTTTCAATCGATTGCGCCAAAGAATAATGTGGTCATTTTCCATCAGGCGAGTAGTTGGAACACCGCGAGCATCATGTGCGAGATACTCCGCCTGGTGGGAGCAGTGTTGCGGGCAAAGTTTCCGTCCTACCAAGGCATCCTGCTGCTTGACACTGCTCCAATGCATGTTGCCCCTGCCGTTGTTCGAGTGGCGCGACTGCAGCAGCTCTGGCTGCTGCCGGTGCCTCCGTCCACAACACAATACGTTCAGCCGCTCGATGTGAGTGTCTTCAGCCAATACAAGGGCTTCCTGCAGTCTCGCAGCCGCGATGTTCGCATCGAACGAGGCGGTGTTGACGTAGAAGACTGGCTAAGACTTGTTTTTGCCGCGTGCGATGCTTTTCTGAATAACAAAGCTTGGTACAAAGCCTTTGCTTTGGTAGGCGTACCTGCGGACAGCCAACAAGGCTTGAACGCGGAACTTGGACATGTGTTTCCAAGCTAACGCCAGGAGAATTCGCAAGGTTGTTGCCCAAGCGGTGCAAGATTGCGTTTGATGACTGGATTGGGGCGCCTGAAGGGCATCCCCCGTTTCTGGCTTGAGAGCAAAACCTTAACTGTAGGTGCAGGCTGAGGGCTGGCAGCGGCCTCCTGCACGTTAGCCTCCTCTGGACGCAGCTCCCTGGCCTTTCTCGGCGTGCCACACGGAGTGCGCGACGCGTCCCTTCTGGGGGCGGCCGACAGGCCAGTCAACGAGAGCACAGCCGGGAGGAACCGCCACCTGAGCTGAAAAGTAGCAAAGACTCCCAGCAGATCTGGTGGCAAGCAAATTGGGCAGAGTGCACACAGAGCAGGGAAAAGATCACGGGTCAGCTGAAGACGTCTCTCTCGGAGGAAAACACCACACAACTTGTGGCACTCACCAGGGTAAGATTGGCAACAAGCCCAGTAAACCCAATCGGTTGCGAGGAGCCTCACGTGCAGACCAGAGAGCCGGTATTGGGCGTTGCAAAATAGACAAGGTGCGAGGCCACAAGCTACCTTGACGCTCCAGCATTGGAGGGTGAGGAGGACAATTTGGGCTGGCCAATGAAGTTCATGGGCTTTTCTCCCGCCCAGCAGCAGCACATTCTGAGCTGCACCCATGAAATGGTGCGCGCAGACGGAAGAGGCGGAGGCTAGCTAGGGTAATTCTCCAACTGCAAAGACGTTATAGGTACATTCGTCAAGTGGTGTAACACAGAAGAAGGCCTCAGCAAGCTCCCCAGTGGGAACCGCGAAGAAAGGCTTTCCCTGCAAACCTCCTAGAAGTAGTTGGAGCCATTGGGAGTTGACCGCTGCAAGGCAAACCACCGACTGGATGGCCAGTTGACTCCAAGTAATCAAGCGCCACGGACAAATCACTCCGCTTGGAACTGTGCAAACAGCAATTCCTTGTCGATTGAAGAGTGCGAGCGCACTCAAGCTGTCTGGGGTTGCTTTCAAGGTCGTCAAGCTGTTCGCGCGAATCCAACATAGGGTAGGGGGCTAATTGTCCAGCACCAATTCCCTTGTCGTCGTTGCTGCGCCTGCTAGCCAAATGGCACCCCATCATCAAAAGGAGGTCTACGACGGCATCAATTAAGGAAAGCCAAAAGCGGCGTGGTCAAGTTTGCGAATTCGCAAGTCACCAAGATCAACGGGACTGCCACACTGTGGAACATGGGAGTCTTTAGGACTTTCCTCTCAAACAAGCTAGGGGCCGTTACTTCATGGCCACTACGGTCTGCTCCACTGACCCCACCTTTAGCGTCTGTGTTCTTGTTACCTGCCGAGCCTCCGGCTTTCTGTTCAATCGCAAGGCTGGTTTCGCCCGAGCCACCTCCTCCTTCACTCGCGGGTTAGGACCGCTGGTCTTTCTGGCGCCGTACTACTCCGATGGCATTGGCGCGTGCTTTCAAATGGCGGCCTGTTCCACAGGAGGGCTGATTGAGTGTGCTGAATACCTGCGTACACAGGCCAGCCTTTGGAGCCTTGATGGCCCCGGCATTGCGAAGAAGTCGAATAAACAGGCCTTTCGGGAACAAAGGGTGGCGAGAGGCTTGGGCGCTGAAGGCTAGAAGCACGAGGCCTTGTACCGCGTGCTCAAGTCTGAAGGCTGGGGACGTCCCCCCTACTACACATCCAACTCCTACTCAGGCACTGTGACCAGCTTGTGGGCGCGTGAATTTGTTCTGGAGCCACTGCCGTCCCTTTTCAATCCGTGCGTGAGTGTAACGGCGTTGCTAAGTATCTTACCCACCTGCTGGGGATGCCAAAAATTCTGACGCCGCCCGGAAGGAACCTGCCCCTCGAGTGGGTGAGCACAAAGCGGGCATACAGCAAGCTCTACAACGCCTTAAATTAATTCGCCTCCTTCCTGTGCGGGCTGGCCAACTCACTTCTGAATCGGCCATCGAAGTGGACTCTCCGAGAAACAGCCCTGTGCCCGTGGGAAGTGCCTGCACAAGTGTGGCGGCGGTGCCGAAAGCTGAGCGAGCCTGGTGTTGGTACGCTAAGGGCTGGGCGGTGGAGTGCACCGTGGCTCAAGCCGAGCCCTAAGGCTGCTCGTGGTTCGGTGGCTGTTGCCGTCAGTCCGCCGCCGCTCCCACGCACTTGGGGAGCCGCCTGGCCCCAAAGCTCGACCAGCACGGACAGCTTCTTCCGAGCGGGGCGGGACCAGAGATGCATCGAGATCACCCTGTGCAAGCCTCCCAGTGAGCGGACAGGGCCAACTCCTACGCCCCCCCCTGGCCTGACCCAGCTGGCCGCGGGGCGTTTACCGGTCTCCCCTGGCCGAAGAAAGTCGGCCCCTTGTCCATGACAATACCGGCTCCCAGGAGCCGCCCAGGTCCAAGCCAAGGGGGCCTGGCGAACCAAGCAGCGCCCGTGATCGAAGGACTCCGAGCAATGAGTCTCCTTCCCATGAAAGTGAAAATTCTGTTTGCGGGCTCATGTGGTGTGCACTCGAGGCGGGGCATCATTTTGGGAGAAGTGTGAAGCCCAGGCCCTACATGTGCTTGCGTGATTCAACTCATTTGACGACGCATGGGCAACAACTTCGCGCGTATAGGACCTATGAAGAGTTGCTGCTGCGCCTGCCACACCAGCTCCAGGAACCGGACACCCTATTGAGCATTGCAGACACCCTCCTCCACCTGCCTGAGGCCTTCCCGGCGGCCTACCTGAAAATCTATGACCCCATCATCACGCAGTGCTTGCGACTCTCAGGGGCGCTACAGCACATTGATCTGGCGGACATACTATCATTCCAAATACCACAGCTGGATAAAACCAGGCTGTCGGATTCTTTGGTCGGGTACGGATTTCTGACCACTGCCCAGTACATCGCTGATCTCTTCTTTGCTGTCGCAGATGTGCCAGGGGTCACAAATGCCAGTTTTCCGGCTATGTTGTGCTACTCCGACCCAGACTACTAGTTGGGGGCGCTTTTGCTAGCCTTTGAGTCTCATCAAAAGGGTCCCTTGGGACGAGCAGCCGGGCTGCCTGTAGTCTTGGGCTTCCCTGAGACGGACAAACGCATTACAGACCTACAGGTCAATGTGCCTCCTGCAGCCATGGTGGCCTTTCTCGCTGGCCGTGCGTACCAGCTGCCCACGTGCCCTGCAACCAAATACGTGGTGGACCCCCAAGGACTCCCCCAAGTCCACGGACAGATATCGCAGGAGGCCTTGCAGGCCTGGGCGGAGGCTGCCAAGCACACGAATCTGGAAACTGCACAGGTTAGCACAGCAACCTGGCTTTAATGCGTTTGTACGGATTTCGCTTCAAGGCTTGCAAACACTGGGGCACCGCCAGTATCAAGAATTTAGGCCAAGTGTACCACCAGTTCACTTCCTTGATGCCATTCGGCAGGCCCTCGCGGCCTCTGTTGCCAACCAGGACATTGAACACTTCTGGTCCGTCTACAACTTGGAGTGGCCTGACACAACCGCAAGGGTTGAGGTTTTCCTGCGGCGCGTGCTGCCTTTGGAGAGCCTCCTTGCGACGCCTGCAATCTTGGAGCCCTCTGTGGCTACGACACAGGCCCCGTCGGAGGTGTGTTGCATCTCTTCTGACACTGAGGAAGCTTCGCCTGCAGCTTTTGCAGAGACACCCGAGGCGGCAGACGAGTTTGAAGCTCAGGTGCATGATTGGCGTTTTTCGGAGCTGCGTACCACAGACCTTGCGGCCTTGCGAGAAGTGGATGTTTCTACCCCTTTTCGATTACCAGCCCTCGAGGATGAGCATTGGCAAGGACTTAGTACAACGCCGACCCGGCCTGCTTGGTATGATGCTGCCACCGCCCACTGGGCAGCCCTCAAGGGGCTTACCCGATCCAAGCACCCAACCAAGCAACGCCTCAACAGCTTCTGGTATAAACTGTACTGCCAGGGCAACCCCAAGGAGCCTGAGCCCTCGGCCCCTGTAACTGCCCTCTCCACCTTTCCCTTCCAGTCCGGGGAGGAAGGAGCTGTGCATAATTGGCAAGTTCAGGAGGCCATTCGGACGATGTGGCATTCAGCCAAAGCCACCATGGCACGGCATGTAGGAGTACCCATCCCAACTGGCATCCCTGCGTGGGGGGTCGATGAGGAGGAGTTGTCGCAAGCCTGTCTGTTGTCCCGCAATACAGCCGTCACTGATCCGTCAACAGCGGCTGAGGGATTCAGCATGAAGGACCAAAAATCAGGAAAGCGTGCTGAAACGCCCTCTTCCAGGTACCGTCCGAGACACCCGGATTGGGAGGGTCCATGGCAATGAAGTGCTGCGGGCCGGAGTAAGGGTTTGACTGCTGTATTGCTGTTGCTACTCGCAGGTTTCCTTCCTGGGAACTAGGAGGACTCTGCTGACTGCGGCCCCAGGTTCTACTTGGATATGTGGCCGGGCTGAGCACAGTTGTGCGCCTGGGTGTTGGGAACTCTGGGTCGGTCTTCCAATTTGGGAACCGTAATTTGTGTTGGCTCTAGCTCGGGGTTGCTCCACTGGCTGTCCACCATGGGGTGCCCTGGGCTGGTCTTGCATCCGCTGTTCTTGCTGTCAAGTCCCCACTGGCTGACCACCATGGGGCGCGCGCTGGCCTTCCCTTTGCTGCAGGATATAGTGAGGGTTTGACTGCTGTCTGGTAGTCTTTCCCCTCGGAATCGGTAGCTGCTGCTACTTGCAGGCTCCCTCCCTGGGAAGTGTTGAAGGCCCTGCTGACCGCGGCCCCTGTTTCTACTTGGGTATGTGGTCAAACTGGGCACAGTTGTGCACTTTGGTGTTGGGAACCTTGGCCGGGCTTCAATAATAGAGCCGCAAGTTGTGTCGGCTGTTGCTCGGGGCTGCTCCACTGGCTGACCACCATGGGGTGCCCTGGGCTGGTCTTGCATTGTTCTACTGGCTGACCACCATGCCTTCCCTCTGGGATATTGGGCCATTTTGTACCTTCCCTTTTCGCTACTGTGTGCCTGGTACCTCACCGTGTCGGCCGGTAACTCTGCTGTC